TGCTACTGCTACTGCTACTACTGCAGCAACAACAACCGCAACATTCGGATCCCTGTTTTTACTTTTTGTGTCTCATAGGATGTTCATCCTTACTCACGGCCTGCCGCAAGGTGCGGGACTCATCCTTGAACATGGCCGGCCTGGGAGGTTGGGTGTTACAGGCATGAACTCCTGTCATAGTCGGCAAATTCAGATAGTAACATTAGTGCTAGTACTACTAGTACTACTAGTAATACTGGTACTACTACTACTACTACTACTACTACTAATATTATTACTACTACTACTACTACTACTACAACCACCAGCAACGAACGATTCGCTTGGACTTTCACATTCCAGTGCTTGCAACGCTCGCCACGGAAGCAACTTTCTGGCCCGAGTGATGTGCGTCTTAGAGGCTATTCAGTATGAAGAACATAATTCCGAACAAAGACTATGTGTTTGTATATGTGTATTATATATACATATTTGATTGTATGAGTTATGTGTGTATATATATATACACACCCACATATTGTTTTGTTTAAATAGTTGCTAATTCGAGTTTAACGGATTCTTTGTTCATATTGAGCATTTGCTTACGTGTGTATGTATTTATAGACTATACGGAGATTTACTGGCAAACATCATGTCGGTTTGTCGTAATTAGCTCGATCGCAAGCCTACTGCATGCCACTTGCAGGTCCTACATGCAGGTGCGGCGTACCAGTCAAAGTCTTATCTCTCCGATGCAAGAGCTGACTGAGACGCCAGCGCATGCTGCGAGCGACAGAGGTGCAGTGTTGATGCATCCAGCTGGAGAGCTTGAGCAATGCGCGCCTGCAACGTGCCGGGATTCCCAAACAAGCTGAGACCCTGGTAGGCCATCGGCAAAGAGTTGGATGCCATTGTCTCAAAATGAGGGTGAGAAAGCTGATGAGCACTGGCATCTAGAACGAAGCCACTTGTGTAAAACAGCGCCCTATTACTCAAGACACTCTGTTCAAGCCATGCATTGGGCAAACGTGCACAGCCATATCTCCGAGAGCCACTTCAAGTAAGCAACCAGGAATCGTCCAGCTAGAGTTTCAACCTCCTGTATTGCCTGAGCAACAGCATCCCCAAACACAGGTTGCGTGCTTAGCCCTTCTGCCAGTCGAACGAGTCAGCGAGCCTTCAGCTCGAAGATCGGGGCATCTTTGCTGATGGCTATAGGCGGGAATTCCTCCGCCAAAGGTTTCATGGCTTGGCTTGCAACGGCTTGTATGACCAGTACCCTGCTTCCGTCACGGCGAGATGACCCCCGTCACGACCAAAACCCCAAACCCAAACCCCTCAACCCCTAAAACCCTTTCTTGAACCCAGACTCTGCCAATCAGCTGGGAAGCAGCGCACCGCTTTCACCTTAATTCTAAACTCTAAACCCTACATCAAACCCTAAACCCCAAATTCTAAACCCTAAACTCTAAATCCTAAACCCTAAACCCAGAGGACTCTGCAGCTGGTCCTCGGTGAACTGCGGCCTGGCGGCCAAAAAGGTGCCAAGCTCCGGGTGCTCACATCTTTGGGCTCAGGCCTCGGGGTACTACGGGGGCATTATAAGATAGGAGAAGATGATAACGGAATGTGTAGCATAAAACAATAACAATATAATATAAGGTATAATAACCAATGACAATATTATATAAGGTATAATAAGTAGTGAGAAAATATAGTGTAAGTTTTTCCCCTCTCGCATGGCAGAGATCGAAGTTATAAGTTTCAGGGTACTTTAGGGGCACTTGTACAAGGGTATTCTGTCCAAGGATAACATGAGAGGGTTATTAGGATACAGCAAGGTACTGCGTTTGGGAGTCTCGCTACGGGGTAGTCTAAGCGAATTGATGGTCCTCGCGCACTCACCAATAAAGGAGCCGACGTCCGGCAAACCACGGGGGCACCGCTTTGGAGCACAGCTTGCGTGGATGGATGGCCAGAACAGATCCTTAACCCTGGGCCCAAAGTTTACATCCTAAACTCTAACTCCTAAAAACTGAGCCTCGTTGGATGGTTGAAATAAATCTTCGCAGTGTTGCACTTCTCCTCCACGAGCCTGGGCCACCGCAGGAGAAATGTCCAGAATTTTCAAAAACTCAATTTCTCTAAACGCCGACATATAACAATCCAGATCATGATCCTCGGTATGGGAGAGGGGTTTATGCCAAACAGAGGGTCTTCATGTGTTCCAGTTCTTCACGGGGCTCAGGAGTCTGCTCTGGCGATATGTTTGTAGGGTTTTAAGCAGGTATGTACGGGTAGGTAGGAAGGTATGTAGGCTGTTATGAGCATAATTACCATTACTCATATTACAACTGATATTGTGTTGCCGATGTGTTCTTCTTAGCTTGGGCGGTAACTTTTTATTGTGGCTTTCATAAGAACACTCCATTAGTATGAATATTGTGAACTACCACTTGTGTCAGTGGTACTGTAACCTTTGCCATGGCTATTGGACTAGTATTCCCACTCTTACCATTACAACCACGATTGCTGGCAGTGTCATCATGATTACTAGGAATACTGAAATTATGTTGTTCTCGATATTATCAACCTCATGTTGTTGCTATGGTGTTCTTATCCATGTGTCTGTGTTACTACAATGTTTGTTCTGATTTATGTATGTTGTTGTTGTTCTTATTCGCCGTCGTCGTCGTCGTCGTCGTCGCCGTCGTCGTCGTCGTCGTCGTCGTAGTAGTAGTAGTAGTAGTAGTGGTAGTAGTAGTAGTAGTAGTAGTGGTAGTACTAGTAATACTAATCAGAAATTTGCGGTGCTTTTAATCATGTTACGTTTGTTATCACTACTGTTACTGTCTTAGTTACTGCTCCGATTTTGTTTCTTCATTGCTAACAGACGGTTAGTCGTAAAAAGTGGTTTTACCATCATTCTCATTCTCAGTCGCAGTGCAGGTACTACTGTTCTTGTTTGCCTTGCCTCAATTGGGTTCTGCCGTGCATCAAGTTACAAGTTTCTATATGCGTGGATATCGATTAATCGTATACCTTAGGGAAAACCTGACGCACGCACGAACACACAAACAGACATTATCCATCGACGAATGTCTGCGTCCGTGCATACCTGCCTACCGCCTGCCTGCGTTCATATCTTCAGTCGCACACCCACACAAAAAGCACGTGCATTGAAATCACGTGGAACGAGCTCCGCTATTTATTTGCTTGCTCACCCGCGTTAAACACACTGATGTTACTGCACGCAGAAGACCAGGTAAACAAATGCAACCCAGCTTCTGCACAGCTTGCGAGGCTCCTGGCAGATGATCAGACATTAACGCAAAGACATGGGGTGGTGTCCGATTGACTAACACAGTCTCTGGTCAGTTGCTCGGTACATTGCCGGTGTAGCACAGAGGCCGGGCGGAGTTTGATGTGGCGATGTTTACTGGAAATTGTAATACAAATATCTTCCCGGCACAAAAGAAGAAAGAACCACTAATCGTTGAATGTGCTTGCATGGCCGTTGTGGACATGCAAACTCACTGGTCATCCTGATCCCTCCAGCTGCTCCACGCAGATAATGTCGCCGTACTCACAGCCGGACCTGAGCAAACACTGTGACTCGTTTGCTTGGGCCTAGGCCTCGCGCAAACAGTTTTTGTGACTTAGCAAACGGGTTTCTGCCGAAGGAGTCGGGAAATGCTCCTAAGAAATCGCTGGAGAATACTGCCGGCAGAGGGCTGTACATGGGTTCAGGGTGCAAGGCTTTGCTGAGTCAAAGCCTCGCCCGCGGAATACTGCACGCATCTGTTCCTGTGCATGAAGTGATGTCTGGACCATTGAATCGTCTAGCCCTGGCTTAACCCTATAGAACACGAGCCCTAAACCCTAAACCCTAAACCGGTTTAGGGTTTAGGGTTTCTACACGTCTACACTATCCGTAAGCACATACCTGAGCTTCCAGCCCTTGCAGAGTCAGGTCATCACCCTTCAGCTCTTTACCGGCCTTTGGGCGCCGGCTGCAAGGTCGAGCTATAGGGGTAAGGGGTAATGTCAATGTAGGGGCCTTAAGAATTAGAATAGGGTTTTGGGGGGCTCTTTATTACAATTATAGTATAATGGGCCGCAAAACCCTGTTCAAATTACTAAGGCCCCTATATTAAACATAAGGGATGGCCTCGTATAGCCTTTTCTGATGCTTTACGCAAGCCGGCGACGACCAAAAGGAGCCGGGGCCAGCAAAGACGTGAGCAGTCGTCAAGCGACCGCAGCTGTCGTGAAACTCGGAGCGCCAGGAAGCGATTCAATCTGCACCCCAAAGCTTCTCAACCTTTAGGTCGCGGTAAGAACACCAGGTAATCTGTAGTCACGCCGTCGTCGGATGGAACCCTTAAGCTTCAGATTGTGTGGTACCATAACGAACGCCTGAGAAGGTAAGCCCACCCCCGAGGTGGCGGCCTGCCTGCGTCCCAGACAGTGGAACCAAGGCCAGGTGGCTCGAGGCTGGGAGATTCCTGCTGACGAAAAGCAGGGGAGATCTGTGAGGCAGCGTGTGCGCTTGGCTAATGGCGACAATGTCAAGATGTGGCGCCGCCTTGCTACCAAGGATACAGCGGCGCCCCACCGAAGAAAAGATAGTCAAGGTATTCATGCCCCCGAAAACAGTCCAGAGCGTTGCGGCTGCTTCCCGCACTGTTCGCAGCAAGGGAGACCGGTCTCCACGGGACCTGTCGTGGTTCGTTGCTCAGGAGTTTCAGGTTTTCCTGACAAGACAAAAGTGCCAAGTTGTCAGCCAGCTTGCTTGGTGAAACTGCTGCTACTGTCCTTTACAAAGTTTTGCTCGATGGTCTGCGAGCTTTGGGTAGTCTTCACGTGCAGGCCTTGCACGGAACGGTGCGTCTGCGTTCTCCTTACGGCCCTACGGCTACAGGCTAGTTCAATCATCCACCTACATCCACCAGACACCATTCGCGCAACGGGCCTTGCCGGCTCTGTTGGGACTTCCAGAGCGAAGAGATCCTGCAGCTTCTCTTCATCAGTGCAAACGGGATTCGACATCGAAAAGAGCCCCCGAAGCCCTGAGAGACTGCAGGATCCCGAAAAGACGTCCCCCAGTATTTACACAAAACCCTGGACGGCCCTGAAGGCGATAAGCACCTGTTGTGTCAAATGGCGTGTTCCAACCCACCTGCTGCACCTCTTCTGGTTCAGGCTCATAGGTCTCCGTGCTGGTAGGGACCTCTGCAAAACATGAAGCAGGGTTATGCGGTTTTTGAATGTGAAGATTTCGACATGAACACTGCAAATAGTCAGCATCGTCTACTACTACCACAGAATGCTCGGACAAGCACCTGTGTTGGCTCTTTGGCCAAGTCGGCCTCGCCAGCAGCACATGTGGCCTGTGGACATTGGAGATTCATTGAAGCTGATTCTGCATCAGCACGCGAACACGACAGCCGAGCATCATGGCAGAGCAGGATAGTTGTAATCAGTACACAAAATACTAGCTACTACCGATCACTGTTGCCTCCATTGCTTCCGCTGCCTGTGCTGAAGCTGGCAGTAGCGGCGCCACTGCTTCTGCAGTGGCAGCACCGACTCTGGCTCCTCCTCCCTCTAACCACTGTTGCTGGATTATATCAAAATTAAATCTGATGCTACTGGTACTACGTGTACTGCAACAACAACCATTACTACCACTACTACCACCACTACCACTACTACCATTACTACCACTACTACTACCACCACCACCACCACCACGACGACGACGACTACTACGACTCCTGCTGCTGCCGCTGCTGCTGCGACGACGAAGACGGCGACTGCTGCGGCTGCACAGTTTCGTTCTTTTGCAAGCGGCGCCTCCTCAGCTGGAGGGAGCCTCAACGCCACCACGCTTCCTGACCCAAGGCTGGGCGCTCCGAGCTGCTTGTCCCAGAGTACCTGAGCTTTGCTCCTTCTTGTCTTGAATGTCGTGATGGAACGACAGCAAGGATGATCGGGCCGAGGCCGATGATGCTGGTGATGAGCATTGTCGTCAGCATCGTCACTATTGCTAGCGCCAGCACCAGTTGCCATTACCCTCGCCATCATCGCCACCAGCCACTGTAATCAGGTCCACAGACTTGAAGTTCTTCCACCACATGTAAAAGTTCCAAACTAATGAATGCAATCTCTTTATCTCGCTCCGTCTCTCTGTCTCTGTGACTCTGTTCGCGGGAAGGTGGGGTGGGAAAGCATGTACGAAGTCTCGTTCCAGGTACAGTAGACTAGACCATACTTACTGTATCTGCTCGCAGTGCTCCCTGTGGGGCGAAATGCCTCCTCAAAAGGATATCTTTGCTGTTGTGGGCTGGGTCTCGCCCGCGATTTCCGATATTATGTTCTGCTGTTATTCAGCTTTCCTTCGTCTGCCGAGCTGCGAGGAAAGTCACCGTGCGATCCTCCTGCCACTGCTCAAAGCCTGAGCAATCTCACGCTGCGAAGCCGCCGCCGGCAAGAAGCCACAAAACGTCACCGCAGCAGCTAAGCATCGAAACCTACAGCATGAAATTTCAAGCTAGCCCACCTTCAGCTCCTCCTGCCATCTCGAAGCACCCCCCCTTTGCCTCAAAGCTACCTTCCTGACAAGCAGCAGCCCGAGGTATCGGGCAGCTCCATAACCAGAGTCGCAGTGGAGTTGAAGCCTCCTCCCAAACAGTCGGGTTTAGGGTTTAGCTTCCTTTTTTGCATCAGGACTTGTGCAATCGCCTGAATATCCGAGCCCGCAGAAGTTCAGCTCTCANNCTCACGACTGCGCTTCCACACCGTGCTCAGTGTTCCTAAACCCTAAACCCTAAGTCTCCTCCCAGAGAGTCGCCAAGCGCTCTGCTGCCCTCGAGTGGACGTCCAGGCAAGCCCCGCCACGGGTCGTAGAGGCGGAGCCTGCGCCAAGGCAAGGGCACATAGAAATTTGAAAAGGGCTTAGGGTTCAGGATTTAGGGTTATAGGGTTCAGGGTTTAGGGTTCAGGGTTTAGGGTTCAGGGTTTAGGGGTTAGGGTTCAGGGCCATAGAAAATTAGATAAGGGTTTTGGGGCCTATGCCAGCGGAGAAAGATACCCCAAGGAAGAGTACTACGATTACCTATTAGAGATTATTTTTAGCCCCTTGGGCCTTTAGGCTTCTGCAGAATGCCATGGAGCCTCTGGTTCCTCGATTTTGTTTGGCTCATCTCACTCAGGAATTCCTGAGCCGAGGCGCCAGCAACTCGGATTCTTGGCGTGTTTTTGGTTTCGACTCTCGCACTCGCACGTTACGGCTTATGGGGTTTCGGTATGCGCTACAGTCTTGCGTACATGGAAAGCAGCATCCGCACAAACATGAACCTGTGTTGACGCAAAGCTCTGTCTGGACTGGAAGACTTTTTGCCCGGAGCCCTGCCCTCTGATACCCTAAAATACCCTAACCGCCCAGAGGGGCTCTGTACAACTCGGAGCAAACTATCCTTTAAGCCTGAAGTCCCCAGCTTCGCTGAGCCTGCCTTGCGGACTTGACCGCAGCCAAGTCCAGGTCACGGCACCAGGACATGTCTGAGGACGCTAAGGACTTCCTGAAGAGCGGCTGCAGGTCTTACAGGGACGTGTGCAGTAGCCGTAGGCCGTAGACATGGAGGCAAGGCTGCCGGTTATGGCAGTAGAAAATGTGAAACAGCGGTTAGAGCATATCGATCTCTCTGGGATTCTCTCTTAAACTGTGATCTTGGCCAGGCAAGGTTCCCGGCAGTTCTCGGTTGGTTGTTCGCGGGGGCAGATGTCGTGGGCTTCTTCGTCTGAGGGAAATGGGTTACTGTGTGTTATGGTCAAGATTCACCTACTACTACTACTACTACTACTACTACTACTCCTCCTCGATTCGCGTCTTCGATTTGGTTCTCAGCGCTGCTGCACTCGTGGCCGAAACCCTAACATGGACCCTTTTTTGAACCCAGACTCTGCCAATCAGCTGGGAAGCAACACGTCCAGACTATTGCATCTGGGAAGTGGCGCTGCCAAACTACAACCTAAATATGGACCCTAAACCGTAAACCCCCAAATCCCAAAACCCTGAAGCCTTAACTTAACCTTCAAATCCCAAAACTCTAGACCCTTAACTTAACCCCCCAATCCCAAAACTCTAGACCCATTTCCCCAAAGGCTCTAAGGACTCATATGTTAAGGCTTTTGGGCCCAAAGACCCTAAACCCCTAAACCCTAAACCCTACTAGACCCATTTCTTGCAGCCAAGGTACAAGACCTTTCTCTGCACGGCAGCTGCGGGTCTTTGGCTCGAGGTCTTCACAGTCACAGACATTTCCGGCCTCGGGCGTCGGGCTCTGGGGCTTATAGGGACTAGGGTTGTTTTTTGGGTTTGGGGTTTAGGGTTTAGGGTTTGGATTAGGGTTTTTGGTGCTAAGGGTTATGGGGTTTCTGGGGGTTGGGGTTGCAGAATGATTCGCGGAGTTTGGGGTTGGTGGCTTGTACATCGGGTTGTGTGCCTAGCTAGGACGAGCCCGCACTGCGGGGTGCTTATGGGCCCACAGGGTTTCGCTCACTGCTCGGACCATCCAGGCGAGGCGTATGTGTGTAGGTCGATGATGTAAAGACAAACAACAAAGACTGGTAAAAAACACCCTCGACCTTAGGTCAGCCACAGCTGGCATCCTGCTCTCGACATTCCTACTAGTTGAGAACTTCCACAAGGTTTTTTTCTTGAGACCTCTTTTCCGTTCCGCATTTGGTCTGGAATTCCACAGGGTTTGGCGTGTGGGGTCTGGGCAAACGACAGAAGCCTGATTTGCCCAACCGACTCGATACTTCAATCACCTCAACACCACCGAATGGAATCAGACCTTTTTTCTTGAGCACGGGCTTGGATTGTATGGAATCAGACCTAAACCATAAACTGGCCCTAAACCCTAAACTGGCCCTAAACCCTATACCCTAAACATAATACCAAACATGTACACCATACACCGGCCCAAGGCAATGCCCTATTCCTCAGTTGCATTACCAGCGACTCCGCCTCCGGTGCAGCAGCGCCCAACGCCTGCGGACCAAGGCTATCTATCATCACGAAACCAATGCCACTAACCATGAAATGCACAATGTATCACATTTGATACATAAACTGTAACGTCTATCTACCTGTCTATCCAATCCATCCATCTATCCGCCTGGAGTATACACTCTGCACGTATAATTAATACCAATACTAACAACAGTAAATTGAAAAAATCACAATAATACTAATAATGGTAAGAACAGAAGGATATTATATATATACATATATATATATAAATACAACACTATTAATATACGATCTTGCATGAAACATGTCGTATAGTACATATGACTTGTAAATACTGTGGACATGAATATATTATGCGTCTATTCTGTAATATGTGTTGTATACTGAATATTACATGTTGCATAGTATGTATTCAAATTAAACATGCATATACATACGTATCAGAAAATGTGATACAATATAACCAATATAACATAGCATAGTATGACATCGTTTCATAGTACAGCGTGGTAGACGTATATCGAACTACAATTGCAAGTATACCGTATATTGTGCAAACCCGTTCATCTGTTATATACTCTGCTTTGACTGTATCATGGAACAAATAATACGCAGAGTTTCTTTTGTGTCTGAGATGCTACGTATTGTATTACCAAGATGTGTATATGTATATACATATAGACACATACATGTGCATATGTATACATATTATATATATATATATATATTTCTAGGTTGAAAACTGTCTATTTTAGAATGTACATTCCCTTTAGAACATTTATTGGTACTATGATTGTTTTCATTGCATACATATATATATATATTACATATACATATACATATACATATATGTATAAGGTAGCACTTACGCTAACATGTTATATACTGGACACTGTATACAAGATACAACATTTTACGTACTGCGTACTATGAGGAATCACAAGTCGTATATTGAAATACGTTGCCTGTATTTACATATCAATGTTACCAACTATCACGTACATATTTTGCGTCACACAGCATACATACATACATACATACA